TGGGGCAGCGTGGCACAGAACTCTCTCGTATACTGCATTCGGGAACCAGCTAGGCCGTGACCGATCTATTGGCACAGTGCAATGTGCACTGACTTGATTAGTAGAGATTGGACAACTAACGCCATAGTAGTAGGGCAGCACCGTGAGACTGCAATGGACAGTGTAACTCACTCAGTAACAACTCTCATAAGACCGGTGTACACTTGCATAGCTGTACATTGTCCCGAGGGGATTACTCCACATTGAAGTGTGTCTGGATAAGGAATACCTTGGATACTACTTCAAGTACATCTCAGTTAAGTAAGTAAACATTCCTGTTCCCCATGGGGGTACATTTCGTCAGAGTTCCACTATAATACCGTACAGTAAAAGTCCGGGATGAAGTCTTACTTGTCCGCTCACTCCTACAGACCCCTGTCTCTACTGCACAGCATGTACAAGTGTCGTGAGAGAAGCAGAATTTCCGTTATTTACACGAAACAGGTAAGTGGCGCTGAAGTGGATGTTGACACATTGGAGGGACGCGCATTGGCAGCACGGGCAGCAACTGTACTAAGCCAGTGTTCACTATTCATAAGTTTAACTCTACGTGTAGCCAAACTGGCTAAGGGGCAAATATGCGGGCAGGTTGAAAGCGTATTTTGACGCGTACACTTACTAGACATGGCCGATGGGTACACTTACGAGGTGTGTGCATGTGCATGTGTGTGTTTACCTGCCACCAGGATGACGTGGACAAGTGTCTAGAAGCGTACGGCACACATACAAGTGTCTAGAAGCGTACGGCACACATACAACGTGTCTAGAAGCGTACGGCACACATACAAGTGTCTAGAAGCGTACGGCACACATACAACGTGCGTTCACTTACTAAGCATGCACTGTGCCCAAATTTGCCCAACGCTGCTCGCACTGCACCAACATGTCACCACCCACACTGACTGAGCGATGAACACTGCCAAACACCCACACAGCCACATAGCCACTGGGCAGGCAGTCTGGTGCAATTTCACAGATAAGAGAGAGTTTGTGCACAAAGTTGAGAATAACACATTGGAACCCGTAGTGAAGGCATGTACTGAGAATAAGACATTGGAACCCGTAGTGAAGGCATGTACTGAGAATAAGACATTGGAACCCGTAGTGAAGGCATGTACTGAGAATAAGACATTGGAACCCGTAGTGAAGGCATGTACTGAGAATAACACATTGGAACCCGTAGTGAAGGCATGTACTGAGAATAACACATTGGAACCGGTAGTGAAGGCATGTACCTATCAACGAAACCCTTAGCATGAGTGCTATTTTTAAGTGGGAAACACTGAGTTTTCCTCTTCTTGAAGCAGCAACAACTGAAGCCAGAACCGTGACATGCTGACAAACACCACTCTAACAGCGCACAGCAAGTACAGGAAGCATACTACGGGAAGCATCATCAAAGAGGAGAAAACATGGCAGGAGAACCAGTTGCCAATTTCCCAAGAGGGAGACGGTGGCATTCTATCATCATAGTACCCAACACACGTGCCAGACGCAGCTCAATAGCTACCACAAAAGCTTATTGAAATGTCAGTGGAAACTCCAAATACACATCCTTCCAGGCATACGTTCATGTATCGTAGAACACGAATGAGTCACCTAAGCCTAAGCCTAAGGTTATACCTAAAGTTCAATGCAATGTGCACTGCACATGATGGGACATACGGGCCATCTAAGTTACTCCTAACAGCTAGAACCTGTCACTTTGTCAGGTCTCTGATACCCAGGCCAATCAACCTTGCAGTATGATCCTGAGGTGGACTGCGTAGCTCAAACTACGTGTTATCCAGTACACGCAGGAGTAGTGGCAGCCGCACTCCCACCTAGCTATGCATACAGCATACTGTGCAGAAGTGGTACTCGCATTCTCTAGTACAGTGGACGTGCACTCACATCCATGAAATGCTACCTGTAAAACAAAGTCTCCCTTGGTGCATGTATATGTAAAAATGGGTGAGTATGAGTACAAACACGTAGATACTCTAAGTAAGAGTATACTATACAAGACATAAATTATTTACGAGTTGGGTATGTGAACATAGTAAAAAAAATTTTTTAAGTACATGTACTTCACATAGCAGACACAATGCAGGTAAGGTGACTGGTTGGTCCGTTTCCCTCTCCCTGTACTGTGTAAGCCATTGATGCGGCGCAACACACAGCTGCTCTCTATACTCTGGTTACTACACACCCAGTTGGCCTGACATTTCAAGCACCAACCCTCTCAGTTCATGCGAACCTCACAGACACTGTCCTGGCAAAACTACTGTGCATATCCCTAATTTAGAAAAGCAATCCTGTCAGCTTTTCTATTATTTCTACACTGCTGCTGCATGACCAATGACTGAATCGGATCGAGTGAGAGTGAGCCGAGTTTCTGCCCTGCACCCTACACAGCCCAGTGTTTGCAGACCCAGGGCTACACAGCGCTCGGTGTGCACTGAGTCTTGTACTTGACCCACACTATCAGTTTTCAACTTTTCATTGAACAGCACTCTAGTATAGGCAGTAAATAGGCAGAATACAGCAAACCGCAGGTATAACAACCTCGGCTACGGCTTAGCTATAAGCCTATAACAACAACACACGAATAACAGCACTACCTTCGGACCTAGTACTGAGTAACTATTTTGACAGCATACTTTCAACCCCGCGAACTACAACTCGCGAATAACTACACGTGTCGCATGCCCACACGAGAGTCTCCATTGGCAAGGTCCACTGCATGTACTGGTAAATAGTATGTAGTTATGACAACATCCATGACAATGACCTCACCAAGTAAAGTAAATAAGTAAAATATCGTGTCCATTCCATTCCCGTGGGAACTCACAACAGCCGCTAACACCAGGTAAATCCACCACCTGGCCGCTAACACCTGGTAAATCCACTACCTGGCCGATAACACCCGGTAAATCCACCACATGACCGATAACACCCGGTAAATCCACTACCTGACCGCTAACACCCGGTAAACTACCTGGCCGATAACACCCGGTAAATCCACCACCTGACCGCTTACACCCGGTAAATCCACCACATGACCGCTAACACCCGGTAAACTACCTGGCCGATAACACCCGGTAAATCCACCACCTGACCGATAACACCCGGTAAATCCACCACCTGATCGCTAACACCCGGTAAATCCACCACCTGACCGCCAACACCCGGTAAATCCACCACCTGACCGCTAACACCCGGTAAATCCACCACCTGACCGCTAACACCCGGTAAATCCACCACATGACCGATAACTCCCGGTAAATCCACCACATGACCGATAGCACCCGGTGAATCCATAGTTCGGTTGGAGAAGGTAACGCTTTTCTTCTCTCTCTTCGGAGAGAGACAGTTTTTATCAAACGGGCAGACCATCGCTGAGGAGTGGACTGCAGCTGGCTCCAGCGCCTCCATGCTCCATTCCAGACTGGCTTCCACGGATGATTTCACGCGGGTGGACAACACTGATGCGATCTGACGCGGGTGGATGTGGACACTGATGCGGATTCGTCATGGAGAGCCTGGAATCGTTGCTTAATAAGGTTGACTTTACATCAGAGCCAGTGGTGCAGGCCAAGGAGTCTGGACCACCACCACCCAGCTCCCCCACCATCACCAATTCCTCGCAGGTCAGCTTGCCATGTCCTCACTGTTTTGTTTTCTCTGTTTCTTTTTCGTTCGTGATTTGTCATCTGTGTATGCTGGTTCTTTTTCCAGTTTCTCTTTTGTTCACCTCCCATTCGCTTCTCATTCTACCTAAGTGTACCCTTCCCCTAGTCTTCTCCTCTCACGTCCTCCCTTCAACTCTGTCCATGCTCTTGTGTTTTCAATTTCATGTAGTCTGTCCGCCGTTCCATTTCTCCTTCGTTGAATATTTTGTTTGTTTTTGGTTTTGGGTTTTTTTTGGTATCGTTTAGCTTCCTTTTTGCTTGTACGATCGAATACTGTTCTTGTTTCGTTTCCCCATGTTTTGTTTCTCTCTGTATGTTTTCGTCATGAGGCGTTGGCATAATCAGTTTGGCACATGCGAACCTGGGCAACCTCCATCCAATGGGGGCCCCAGCAACGCGGCCGTGCTTATAATAATAATAAATCCATCACCTGACCGATAACACCCGGTAAGCTACCTGGCCAATAACACCCGGTAAATCCACTACCTGGCCGATAATGACACTTGACTGACTCAAGTTCGGCAAGAAGCGTGTGTTCCTAGTTGGAACAATCAACTTCATGACTATTACCGCCGAAGTCGCAACTTCTAAGTTCTGGCCGATAACACCCGGTAAATCCACTACCTGGCCGATAACACCCGGTAAATCCACCACCTGACCGATAACACCCGGTAAATCCAACACCTGACCGCTAACACCCGGTAAATCCACCACATGACCGCTAACACCCGGTAAATCCACTACCTGACCGATAACACCCGGTAAATCCACCACCTGATCTAGAGTGATGGGTAACATGTTAGGCTGCAATGTCACCTGCATGCAAATCCCAGCAATGCCATGTACTTACTGCAAGAGTGCTACCTGTACTTGCAGAACAAAATACATGTATGTGTAACAGCCTAACAGGTTATTACAGCCTGGTACAGGGCAGTTATGCAGTCATTAAGACACCAGCTAACCGTTAGGTCAATGGCAGGGGTTCTTTCAGCCCCCAAAAGCCCAAACTGCAGTTCATGTACATGAGTGGTTAGAAGCAGGCGCGTGCGCCGGTGCCCTTCAAGGGGGGGGGTCCGGGGGACCTCCCCCGTGAAAATATTAAAAAAATAAAGCAAAATCCTGCATTTTGAACGAAAAAGGGGGGGGGGGGGTTCCGGGCACCCAGGAACCCATACGGGGCACGCGCCTGGTTAGAAGCACACGTTTGTTCCGCAACGCGTAGATATAGGAATCTAGGATTACACAGACTCTCAGCGGTGTGTGCCTGAAGAGAGGGGTTATACTGTCACAGGAACTGCACTCTGCAGCCACTCTGTGCAAAAGCAGCAGTGGCGCCTTAAAGTAACCGGCAACGTATGTCTACACACACACCAAGTAGTAGCCAAGCCAGCTACCAACTAAGTACTTTTAATATTCATGAGTTCGAGGGATAGAACAATTATTGACCTTATGCACCACGTTGTACGGATGCACGAAATCCCGTTGGTGTGCTATATGCATATTTGACCAATTCAGCCAAACAATCAATGGAAGACATTCGATTTTTCCGCTTCATCACGTTGGATACAGGTGATGAATAGCAGCTCTAGATCTGTTTCCGAAAAAGCCGTTGTATCGGAAAGAGGGCTTCAGGGCACATTTCAGAGTGGATATAGCAATATACATAATTGGGTATAATGACTATGTGTACTGTACGTTCAACACCCAAACGGCCGGCCTACAGATTCCATAGGATTTTGTACACCAATCCGCTGTGCATAAGGCTTATATCGTGTAGGCATTCTTTACTGCGGCCCGAGTTCCTAGTAGTCTACTCAGAACATTATACAACAAGTGCAACGCACAACTCCTTGCTCTTCACTACTACACATCAACATAATCATTACAACATGAACATGAGCAGGGCCTAGGGGCGGTGGGGAGAGACACAAGGAGGACGCCACAGCAACTAGTAGTACTGGCACATACATACTGTGCAGTGGCCAACACATGACTCATGAGTACTAGTACTACTGACAGAGCTAGGAGGACGTAGGCCTTCACCTGTGTGTACTGGTCAAGCCTGTGTCCGTCAAGAAAGTGGGGAGCGGAATTTTTCGGCTAATGAAGACACTTCTTTACAACCGGACCCACCAAACAAAGTAATTATCGAGTGACTTACCTTTTTAGGAACGTCCACTCTGTCCTCCTTTTCTTCACCCAGCTCAGCTTGCAGTTCCTCTCAGCCACTGCGCACTGCTCGGAAGTGCCACGCTATTCGCTAGCTAAAACCAACAAACTGCAACATCCACAACTTGAAACGAGTGCGTTTGCTTCTTCCTCGTTCCCTTGCCGTATATTCAGCGTAGCGTCCAGTTGAAGGTTCACATTCTGCCACGCTTGGCCACGGAGAGACATCCCACGACGACCACATTGTCATCATAACAAACTGCATGTTCCAGCGAATACCCGAACGCACGTCAGGATAGGTTCGTCGTGCACGGCCGCTGAGAGACAGTTTTATCGCGAAGAAGGATTCATTCCGATCTGGCTTTTCTCCAACATGCCGGGATTGATTCGTGTTGAGCGCTTGACAGCTAGTAAACGTACTCAATGCTCTTGAATACGTCTACTAATGCAAAGGCGGACCAGAAACTGGCATGCAGTTCATGTAACGCAAAGTCACACAGTCACACGGTCACTCGAAAAACTCAGTACATGCACTTGTAAACGATGATTGTCATGTCGTGACAATCGTGACTCGTCACAGCAGTTTATCTACTCTTGGTCACACTCACAGTGAACTGCATGCAGCAGCCTAGGCTAGTGCAGGTGAACATGTTACACGAACTAACTAACTAATACTAGTAATAGTAATACAGTCATGTACTTACTACAAAAACTACAACATGTAGCCTAGTGACAGTAGTGTAGACTGTAGCTAGATACACTCGAATTATCAGATTATTTATTAAATTTTTTTTCTAGCCATACGATAATCAGCCTTTGGCCTTGGGTAATCCTGAAAATTTCAGGATTACCCCCCCCCCCCCCCCCCCCCAAAGGCTGATTATCGTATGGCTAGATAATAAAGATTATTATAATTATTATAAATACGGAACGGTACTGGCGCTTGGAATCACTGCAACAATCCGAGACTGTGGCTGTCAGTGTGATTTTCAGGGACAGTCTACTACAGGCAGTGCAGTGGGCACACGTGCTTATGATTGTCCACACCTCTGCTTGTGCTGCATTGACGTGACGGCCCTCTTGCCAAATCAATACTAGGATTCGGAAGAAGACTAGCCTGTAGAGGATGAAGATTTCGGTGTTACTCCGAGTTTCACGCACGAGGCAATCATCAGACAACAACACTGGACAGCATGGTTGAACACTTCGGTCCAGGCTCATCTACATTTCTTGAAGAGGGCCCCGGTCTCTTATTTTGGGCATGGTCCATTACTTGAGCACGGTCCACTATATTTTCATCGGTACATCGCTGGAAATGGTGGATTTTTAACACGTCATAATATAGAACTTCGACCGGGTCTCTTATTCGGGCATGGTCTACTATTTTTCCGTGAGGCCTCTACACTTAACTTTGTACTTGTAGGAGGGTCTACTATTTGAGCATGGTCTATTATTCGAGCAGGGTCCATTAATCGAGGAAATACGGTATGCAGATTCAACAGTACCATGATTTCTGACGGTACTGGCGAGAAGCTGCTGGTTGACAATAGACACCCTTAGCAAAAAACGTTATGTTGTAACGGTATTATCGTAAGGGGGAAAATACCGTCATTTGGGTTCGACCTTTAGCAAGATGCACGCTATTTTTAGTACGCTGTTGCCACGAGAATAGCTTTGATTTCGCGCGGTACAACCATTTTTGTCACCATATACGCGATACAAGGTGAAATGCGTACGGACTATGCAATATTTGGCCAAAACACGTACCGTTGGTCACAACGATAAATCAGCCCCCATAACGTTGCTGCAGCTTCAACGCTATTTGGGTGATCAAGGTACGAGTACCGTAAAAAATAGCGTTACCGTTGTTTGCTAAGGGTGTCTAATAGCTTTGTCCACCACCAAGACCCCACCTCTACCCCTTCCCCAACCACTGGAGGCAAGAATAGAAGCATCCAGAAGTAGTCTCAGCAACAAGCACACATACATGTACACAAGTGTACCGGTACGTCTTTAATATTAACGACTACCCACAATGTCAAAAATGGGGAAAAAACACTGTAAAAATAACATAAAAGTGTAAAACACAGACTTGGCGTATACTGGACACGGTCGGCCGCACAAAACATACGCACCACACAAAGAACACAAAGGACACATAGGTGAGGACAAAATAGGTTACAATCAGAAAAGCAAAATAAAAACATTAAAAAAAGAGAGAATACAAGCTGGGAAACGAGGCATGCGTACCTGCTCACCATAGGCATGCACATCACAGTCAGGTATGTGACTGATGTCTGCGGTGATGCTGGTGCTGGTGGTGGCGTCGATGATGGTCGTGATCATACGCGCGGCTTCTCCTTCTTGGAGTGTGCGGACTGCGAGTACTGGAGCGGCGGCGGCGGTGACGACGACGAACACGCTCGCGGTGATCGTCTCCGTGCGATGGCGGTGACGACGCTGAAGCAGCGGAGTCACGGGGACGCTTGGCCAGGGGAGAGTGCAAGGACAGTGTCGGGGTGTGCTTCTATACAGATCATGGAACAAACACATCAAAAGCAGAACAACAATAAACTTTAACATGAGATACAGCCAGTATTTGCTCGTCCCGGCCTCTATTCTTGCAGTCCTCCTTCAACTGTTAGCCAGGTCCATCACCGACCAGTGGCAACCAACTGGAGGAAGCTTTTAGCAAGTGTACGTGAAACCAAGAGTGTGCAGCCTGAATGTTGTGCTGTTACGGGCGAAATTTCTTGGGGTGCGTTTGATTGGTCCGATCTAGAACAGGATCGAACAGCTGGTGCACATGGAGCAGCTTCATGCCAACCAAACGGTACTCCAGAAACAGAGCATATTTTTGTGAAAAATATGCCAAGCTTGGTGCATTCTTCAAAATGTGTATGGGTCACCATGATCACTGTGTACGGTACGACAAGTCCAACCCAAAAGAGTATGCACGTGATCATTTGGGACCAAAATCGATGTTCCCGCCAGGTTTCACTGTGAAAAAGTGAAACTGCTCGGTCTGCTCCGGCCTCGAGGCCGGAGCAAGCAGAACATGTTCTGGCCGACCCAGAACAGGTGCAGTCCCAACCAAACGCGCTGTTCTGGTGAATCCTGTTCTAGATCGTACCAACCAAACGCGCCCTTGATTCCAACATTTTAGTAATGCACTTCATACAAGCAGGACGGCGTGCTACACAACCGCAGCTCAGTTGCATGCACTACACCACTTGGGACCAGGCAAGGCAACTTCTAAATTATTATTCTGACAACACATGTAGGAATAGTCTTAGCAAAGCCCCCCCCCCCCCAAACAAAATTCAAGTGTCGCTGCCAACCTGAAGTATTTGAATTTTTAAAAGATTGCCTACGCTTTTGAAATACAATCCAGCCATGGCCATGGTACTTCAGGTACAGTTGCGCTCGTTGAAATCCGAACCAGAGTGCATATTAGGATCTCTCGACTTGCACGGCCCTTGACGCCCTGGAAGTGGTGGCACGGATGCGGCTGGACGTACACATGTACAAATGCAATGATGTAATCGGAACTGGTCCGGGACGCCAGCTTTGCATTTTTGGTCGGATTGCAGTGAGCGCAAGCGTAGCTATGAGCCGCAAGAGGAAAACCAACCAGTAGTTTACCTTGACAGGGGATGGTGATGGATGCCGCTTTCTCTTTGCATGTCGCACTGGAGAATCGTCAGAATCTGAACGCTGACGGCGATGTTGGTCTTCTTTCGCATCTATTGTGCAGGCAATAGACCAACACAATTGATACACACCCAGTGCAGACAGACAGACAGACAGACAGATGCACACACGCACACACACACGCACACACACACACACACACACACACACACACACACACACACACACACACACACACACACACACACACACACACCATTGGACCATTGGACGCCCATCGCCGGAGGCGATGATAGCGATGCTACAGCAGAAGCCATAGCAGCTTGTGCTGGGATTGCACCATTCAACAGCTTGCAAGGCTGAAGAATTGACCGCCACTATTCAGTCTGGTCTACACCACACAGCTATGAAGTGGCTTTTTCTGGCCAGTGAATCCCTACACACACACACACACACACACACACACACACACACACACACACACACACACACACACACACACACACACACACACACACACACACACACACACACACACACACACACACACACACACACACACACACACACACACACACACACACACACACACACCTCAGACCTCAGACCTGCCCATCGCGGAAGCGATGATAGCGAACAGCTATGTTAGACATAGCAACTTGTGCTGGGATTGCACCATTCAACAGCTTGCAAGGCTGATGAATTGACCGCCACTATTTTTAGCCTGGTATCCACCACACAGCTGATTGAAGTGACTTTTTCTGGCCAGTGAATCCCTATTTTTCCTTTTTCCATTTTTCCTTTTTTTCTTTCTTTTTTCGACACACACACACCACACACCACATACTCCGGCATACACTGGCTGTTGGTAACCACCCAGGAGAATGAAAGAAGAGCTAGGAGAATGAGAAAGAGAAGAAAGACGTGTGCGACCATAATCATCGGGAATTGAACCCGCAACCTCTCCCGCAACACACACACACACACACACACACACACACACACACACGGTGCTCACACACTTGTGCTGGACGGGACCCTATCCAATAAAACCACTGCCTGCATTACCCAAGCAGAATCAAAGCGTGAACATCCTGACGAGCATGATGGTTCTTAGTTGGTCTAACAGGATCCCAGTCGCACCATGTGCGAACGATTTAGGATTCTTGTGCGGGTATTCTTCTGTCAATATGTGTGAGATTGCATACACGTTATGAGAGCAAGTGTAGGGCAATTCATTGATATACTTGTTTTCTGACGTTCACACTCTTGCCTAAGGCATTCATTCCCCGGTGATAGAAGCGATAAGTTGAAAAAAGTGAAAACATTCTGGTACACAAGCAATTTATGCAGACTTTCGTTCAGTACATAAAGCCCGTTAATACAGAACATTGTTCAAGTCCCAGAGATTATGTATTAACGAGGGACGGCCCGTAGTATGTCTATAGAAAAGGACGTAATTATCTGTGATGTACACGGAGCAACTCACCAGCCGAAGCGCACGAGTGGTCTCTCTTCTTCGCCCGAGGATGTTGCACGTCATTGAGTACGGTTCGAGACTTATCTTGGTGCCTGCTGGGTCTATGTTCTGCGCTATCATAGCCATTCGTGCGCTCCTGAGCAGGATCCGAGCGCGACTCATCGTGGTCTCTGTGCGACTTATCCTTGGCGGGATATTTGTCTACACACAAAAACCATACAACAACAAACATTCTTTTACTTATCATGCTTGGAAAGTCGCACTCGCTATTAAAACAATCACACATCGCAGAAGCGATGATAGCGAACAGCTATGTTAGACATAGCAACTTGTGCTGGGATTACACCATTCAACAGCTTGCAAGGCTGATGAATTGACCGCCACTATCTTTAGCCTGGTATCCACCACACAGCTGGAAAAATGAAAAATAGGGATTCACTGGCCAGAAAAAGTCACACACACACACACACACAGACACACACACAGACAGACAGACACAGACAGACACACACACATACTTACCACCGTTAGAGTTTGACCAACTTTCATCCAACACCCTGCTCTTCCGTGTTGCGGTAACCGACTTCTTGTCCTGCTTCTGACTTGCACGCTCAGAGTCACCACGGTTAGAAATCCCACGCTCAGAGTCATCACGGTTAGACACCCGCTGTTGTGCAGAATCTGAGTGGCGAGAACGTGCTCCATCGCGACCTCTGTGCGACTCCTCTCTGTCCATATGCGCTTTACCTGCACATAGGGAGAAGAAAGCCCACCCAGGATCTCACCGTGAACTAGGAGAACCTAGCAGCTTTATTATTTATTCATCCAAAATCACGTGGCGCTAGCCAATGACCAGGTGATGTGAGTGCTAGCCAGCCATGGCGGTGATAGAGCTAAAGGGAAGAAAGAAAAAGAATGAAAGGGGAACTCAAAAGTAAGAGAAGCGCAGGGGAGCTAGGGCAGGGCTGTATATCAGCATACTAGCTGTATAAATGCATTGTAACATTGGCAGGATTTTAGATTTTGTGGGAGGAGACCAGTGGCGGTAAGCAAGGAACAGAGGAGATGTTTGAATAGAAGCAGACAGCGCAATAGGGCAGCGGCGAGAGTTTCTAGTGTGCATGCCTTGAGGTTGAACAAAGCAGCTTAGGCAGGAGAGAGAATGAGGAGCAATGCCCAGCACGCCACGCATGTCATATCGGGATTCTATACATCCACAGCCTCCAAACGCATGCCAATGCCGACTTGATTGAGAGCAGAGGACGCGGCCCAGATTGAGGCTCCAGTCTCTCCGGAGGCGTGGGATTCGAACACCAGGTTGTATTCGGCCTGCAAGCCACGCAGGAGTCCACTGCGGGACAAGACAACTACTGATTTTATTTACAACGAGCATGCGCCTATAATGCAGATGAGAGAGACAGTACGGAGAGAGACCGTACGGAGAGAGACAATACGGCGACAAACACTATACACTAGGCAGCGCTCGCAGCACTCGTGCTCATGCCACGTTTCTGCTGAGCCGTAAAGACACCGATGGGCACACGCGTGTAATTGTTGCGCGACAGGTAGGATTCCCAGCTGCCAAACGCCAGTCCCTTGGGAGGCTGGAGAGTGTTGCCACTAGCAACACACCAGCCCACTGGGTGTAGACTATTGTCTGTGAGATCGCACCAGTAGTTGTACGAATCCGACCAGCCGTCAAAATGGATCTCCACGCGGCTACCGGCAGCGTTCACTTGATTGATGGACGCCACGCACGTCATGCCGGGGTTCTTTCTGTCCACCGCCTCCAGGCGCGTACCGGCGCAGACCCGATGAACGGACGGCGGCACGCCAGCGGCACTTTCGGTAGGAGTGCTAGTGCTAGTGGTAGTGCTAGTGGTGGCGGAGGAGGCCGGGGCTGTACCCGGCATACCTTGCTTCTGACAGTTTGAGAACAGGCTGGCCGGTGCTGCGGTCATGCCAACCACCTTCAAATAGTCAGCCACAGTTGACTTATAATCGCCGGGAAGAATGAGTTTGCAACCCACCGTTTGACACCAGCCGATAGGGTGCACATCAGTGCTAGTGCGAAGGTCCACGTCGAAATCCCAGTGATTCTTCCAGCCGATGTAGGTTACTCGGATGCTCTGGCTCTCAGGACCAACATCCACCACCGAACCAAGGTAAGTCAAAGTCTTGTTGGCGGGGTCAGTGATTTCCAATGCATGGCCGCACACAAAACGATCCCACTGACACATTGAAGCAGGCTTGCGCTCGTCGAATAGATCCTTGGTGGCCGCTACCAGATAATGCTCGGTCAGGTACGTCTGCCAGTCTCCAGTGCCTGGCATGTTCAGTGATCGCCCCTGGCTGGCACACCATCCCATGTAGTGCATGGCCGTAGCGTGGACGCCGATCCAGAAGTCCCAGTCCGCACTCCAGCCTTCGCAGTGAAGCAGCACACGCTGGCCAACTTGATCAACGTCTATGATGCTGCAGATGTCCGTGGCACTAAGCTGAACAGGATCGTCCAGTTCAACCGCCATGCCCGGTCGCAGACCCTGCACGCTGAAAACGACGTTGCCAGGATTCGGGCGCTGGGAGGTGCTCATCGGGCTAGGTCTTGCTCGCCTCTGGTAGTCATTGAAAAGATGATCTTGTGCCAGCGTCAGACCATTCGCCAGTGCGTAGCTCTCCCAGTCACTCAATCCTAAGGCTTGCAGTTTCTGGAGTTCACCTCCAACCTGCTCGCACCAGCCTGGAGGATGTAGAATGCCAGAACTGCTCTCAACCCAGAAATCGCACGTCGACTGCCAGCCCTCGCAGTGAACAAACAGCTTGTTCTGCTCGTCGTTGACTTGCAGAATGCGACACGGGTAGGTGAGCGAGGGAGAATTCGGGTCGTCCACTTCCAGTGCCATGTTTGGCCGGAGCAACGTCTTGGCCATGGAGGAGGATTGAGCTGCGTCTGCCGGATGAATGTCAGGATTGCCTGCATCACACCACAGTCACGCCATAGTCACACACACCCACACACACACACCGTGTACCACACGCCCACGCCCACACGCCCACACCCACACACCGTGTACCACACACACCGTGTACCACACACACACACACACACACACACACACACACACACACACACACACACACACACACACACACACACACCGTGTACCACACACACACACACACACACACACACACACACACACACACACACACACACACACACACACACACACACACACACACACACACACAAACACACACAAACACACACAAACACATGGGATACACATGCGCCACCATTATCATCAAGAAGACAAAAGCCAAACGCCTACCTATAACAGTGATTAGCACCAGGGCACTAGCGAGAACGCAGAAGCAGAACACCCCCCACCTCCAGAGTGCACAACAACTAAAGCTGTCACCACTCGTTTTCAGAATTGAATTAGTTTCATGATGTCATACAGCTCCATGCATGCATGCATAGGAAATGCAAGGTTGACCGTGCGCACTGCAGTTTTCTCTGCTCTACAGTCGGGTGCATCACATCATGAACAACGATAATACAGTCACACCATTCAGAAATAGAGTCATGACTCATGAGTGATATTTCGTGGAGTTGCACGCTTTGCGAAGCTATGTACTCTTGATGCTAGTGTTAGATACCTGCTCCCGTACATTCTACAACCTTTTCCAGCTGGCTTGTAATGATGCATGCACCCCGTACTTACCCTCACATACTCACCTTTTGGCCTGGGCAGCTACTAGCGCGTACTCATATTTGCCATAGCTACCCAGGCCCTTTATCTTGCGCTCTATCTCTCAAGCTCCCACTCGCTCTCTCTTCCATCCTGTAGTTGCTTAGTGCGTGTTTCTCTCCGCCTCTCCCAATAAATGTAGTCCCACCACCCACCTGTTCCGTGTCCCTTATGCCTTGGATGATGGATGGCACATGCGGACTCAATACTACAGTCAGTTTCAAAAAGATTAGCAATCCTGGCGATCGCCCGCGGAGTTTGCCGTCTTACCGTATGAGCGCTCGCTCGCTGCCTGGAAACACTCACTGTGACCTCGAAGAAATATTTCGCGCGAAAGCATGAAAAATGACAACTCGTTCTGGGTTTACAACAAACGAGTTCTTCCTCGTATCCATATGGAGTCAGAGAGGACATGTCGAAAGTGTGGTAAATGTTGACGAGCGCCATGGGTCCCAATTCGTTTCGTGACCAAATAAGTTTCTTTGAGCTGTGAGGCAATTTACTCTCATCATGAGACTTCGACGACATCGACACAGACTCATTCCCAAGGCCATGACTTGGCAAAGCGATCCGTGTGACTTCGACGACATTTTGAGAAAAGCAGACGCCTGTGAAAGCTGATAGAAGACGGTGTTGACAAATAAATTGGCGATCTTGAAATACTATAATAATTCTCAGAAAGAAACCGATCGATCGATCGATGTGCCGGTGTATTCAACACGTAGCTACAGCGCAATGACTTCCGTGTTGTGGGTGTGTTCACATAGCGTGAGCCAGTCAAGTGTCAGTCAGTTCGGCAGGAAGCGCGAGCTCCAACAACAAGTCGCTTGGCGCAGCCACCGTCTTCTTCTTTGTCCTGTACCAGCTTGATCACCAAAACAAAGAAAAAAGTGCGACTTGAAGATAGGTTGGGATTTGAACTCACAACTTCATGGTCAGCAGACAGCATTCATAACCACAAGGCCAAAAAGGAAAGGATAAATCGTGGGTTTTGATAAAAAATCGATACTGGCTTCCAGGTAAAATTGTAAACCATGGGAAGAGACCAGAAACCTGGCCGAAATTCTGACTCCTTAATTTTTTTGAAACGGACTATAGTGCGTCTTTCTCTCCGCCTCTCCGTCTCCCCCAATAAATGTAGTCCCACCACCCACGTGTTCCGTGGCCCTTGTGTCTGGGTTGATGGCACATGCTGACTCAACACTGGTAACCACGTGCAGCTACGTTGCACATACTTTCCAAGAATACAGAGATATACGCCAAACAACAGACGTGCATGAACTAGTATGCACCCACAGTCCCACACTTACCATGCTTAGACGGCGTACGTTCTTCGTCACGCCGTCTGCTCTCCTTTGCGGAGACATCCGAATGATGATGGTGCCTGCTCTTGTCATACTCAGCATCTTCATGGCCAGTGGCACGCTCATGAGCAGAACGCGTACATTCTTCGTCACGCCGTCTGCTCTCCTTTGCGGAGACATCCGAATGATGACGGTGCCTGCTCTTGTCATGCTCAGCATCTTCATGGCCAGTGGCACGCTCGTGAGCAGAACGCGTATGTTCTTCGTCACGCCGTCTGCTCTCCTTTGCGGAGACATCCGAATGATGACGGTGCCTGCTCTTGTCATGCTCAGCATCTTCATGGCCAGTGGCACGCTCATGAGCAGAACGCGTACGTTCTTCGTCACGCCGTCTGCTCTCCTTTGCGGAGACATCCGAATGATGACGGTGCCTGCTCTTGTCATACTCAGCATCTTCATGGCCAGTGGCACGCTCGTGAGCAGTACCTGTCTCGGGACTAACATGCTGCTTGTGGTGGTTGTGAGAATGAGAATATTCCTCACTCTTACGGCTAGTGTACCCGCTGGTAGAGGCATGGCTTGATTCTCCTCTCGTTCCTGCTGATCTCTCAGTGTGTCCATGTGAGTAAGCATGGCGTGAGGAATGAGAATGCAAGGGAGAGCGTGAGTGATGCTCCTCAGCTCTGCTGTCTCTGTCCTTGTAGTCCTTGCTGCTGCTGCTGCCACTGCCTTTGCTGCTGCTGCTGTGCTTGGCTTTATGATTCTTGTCGCTGGCGGCATACTTTCTTGCTGAGGTGCTATGCTGATCCCGGTCATGTGGCTGATCATCATTTGCAGCATGTCTGCTGAGGTCGTCATGCTTGTTCTGTCGATCAGGCACCCCATGCCCGGCGTTGGATCTTCCGCTGCTCGACTGGTAGACACGCGGATACGACCGGTGCTCGCTCTTACTGTCGTCCTGCCGTGTGCGCTTCGGGGGACTGTCCCCATCCACACTGGGACTGCGCTTCCTGCGCTTTCCCGAGTGCACTGCTGGTGCGGCGACATCATCAGAATCGCACGAGGTGTACTCTTGTCTTTCCTTCTTCGCAGATGACCTGCTGTGCTCTTTGCCAGCGCCTTTGTGACCCACAAGTTTCTCAGACTGATCGGGAGATACATAGGGTGTGCTGGATAACGCGGTGTCAGCATGCTTCACTGGCCATTTCTCAGCATGGGCCGGTCTGTCAGCATGCTTCAGTGGACTCTCTTCATCTGGATCGCTGCGCACATGTCGCTTCTTTTTCCTTTTCTCTCGACGCCCCTCCTTTTGATCTTTGTCCTTCTTATGCTTCTTCTCCTTTTTGACTTTCTTCAGTTTGAGGCGTCTGGGTTTGTTGAGTTCATACTGACGATCATCAGCCACCTCAACGTCATCCGTAGTCGAAGAAGCAGCGGCCACTGTCGTTTCTTCGTGGACACCAACGTTTTGCGACGAAGACCGGTGGTGGGATTGATCTTTGTCTGAGCTACTTGTATATTGATGCCATGGCTTGGTCAGCAACGCGCTACTATTCCTTGGAGTCATGGCAGGTTGTTGACGAGTACTATCTTCTTCCGAAGCGCTGCTACCGGTGTCTTCGCTATAGCTAGCCAGTATCTTATTCTTACTCCTCTTCTTCTGCTGCTCCTGTTGATGTGAACTCTCTCCGTTTCCTGGTACTCTGTTATCAGCCAGGAGATACTCATCCCCAGAAAAACTTGGCATCGAGGCTGGCGAGGCTGAGCCGTAACCAATCGCATCGTCAAACAGCTGATCGACTTCCGCAGCAGATGACCGACGGAACGCAGAGCTTGCATGTTTAGACGCCGCTGCAGCTGCAGTATCATGCTTTTCCGCCTTACTACTATATATACCATAGTCGGACTTCTCACACGAAGAAGTCCGCGTTTCCAGCCGTGCATTTCTCTTCTTGTTCTTGTTAGCTGGTGACACACTGGTGCAGGAAGACTCATCTGACGAATAGTTGGCCAGGCGAGCAAAGGCAGATAACTCCGGCTGCATTGAGGACAAGACGGGTTTCAGTGTACGGCCGGCAGAGCAGGGAGATGGTGGCACCGTCACTGATGGACTTTCCGCCAGCTTCTGCGGCGCTGCGCTCTCCCTGGTGTCAGAGCGACGTGGACTTGTGTGGCGCATGCCCGGCTTCGGTGGTGATACTTGCTGGTTACGGACAGCCTTACCGTCTTCTGTGCTCGTCTTACATGTACTGTTCACCACCGCAGTAGCAGTAGCAACAGCAGCAGGCGATAGCGGTGGAGAAGTTAAACGTTTAGCAGTGGATGCAGATTCGGCAGGCTTCCTAGGGGACGGTGACTCTGCACAGTTTCCTGGTATGGGAGACTCTGCCTGCTGACTTGGTGATGGCTTCTCCGCGTGTGTCATTGGCTCTGAAGTACCGGTTTGCTTCTCGGGTGATGGCGCAACCTTGCCAACAGGAGAAGTGGGCGATGCCTTCTTCGGTGAATGCATGTCCTTCTCTCCACTAGTAAATACGGGCGAAGGGGATTTCACGTTCTGGCGCGGTGAAATAATAGCACAGGGCTTGGCATGCCTTAAACCAGCAGTTGAGATATTACTGGCCTGAGATTGCTGGTCATCAGACTTCGACGGAGAAACCTGATTGAACGGCTGATATGATGTCGAAGATGAGGACGACGACGATGACCCGGATGACGACGTGTTAGAGTTGGATGTAACACAACCTATGCTCCGTGGCGGCTGACTGAAGACGTTCGATGCTGCCTTCGGATTGGTGGAGAGTCCCTTGATCGGCTTGAACAATGGTTTAGTGCAGCCGTCCTGTACTTTTCCTCCACTGGGAGGCACATTGGCGTTGGAACCGACGGAAGCGGACGCCTTCGCCTGTACAGAACAGAAGCGAATGTGACACATGCACGCACGCATGCCCAGCGCACATGCACAGCGCACGCACGCACACACACACACACACGCACACACACACAAAGCAGAATTCAGGTCCGGAGAATGCAAGTCTTTCTCGCTGCACACCCACACTCCACAAAGGGAGGCATGTACATGACGTCCATGTAGCCATAAGTACCGGTAAGACTGCACAGAGGGATTGTCAGCACTTCTAATATCAAACCACACATCATCTGCATAGTTGTACATTATATTCCACTTCCTGTCTGGGCAGGATGCAGAGTGCAAAGCATATACTAGCCAAATGAAATACAGCTACTGGTATAAGGCTATACACCTAGGTGTATCGAGCACTCTCCCACACACGCACACACACACACACACACACACACACGCACACACACACACACACACACACACACATACATACATACACACAAACACTCTCTCTCTCTCTCCTCCCTCCTCCCTCCTCTCTCTCTCTCTCTCTCTCTCTCTCTCTCTCTCTCTCTCTCTCTCTCTCTCTCTCTCTCTCTCTCTCTCCTCCCTCCTCTCTCTCTCCTCTCTCTCTCTCTCTCCTCCCTCCTCTCTCCCTCCTCTCTCTCTCCTCTCTCTCTCTCTCTCTCTCTCTCTCTCTCTCTCTCTCTCTCGCGCGCTCGCGAGCCCGTGTTGCTAAGAACTGGGGTTCATCATCACCAGGTATGTCATTTCCGAGTTGCATGTACCCAGGACCTACCTCAGAAGACTGATGAGCATGTTTGGAGCCTTTAGACGCGGACTCTGCCGCCATTTTAGGCCGTTGCTTAACCTGCTTGGGCGTGGCGAACGGACCAAACACACTCTCAGCAACCGGATCCACGGGCTTGGGCTTGGCGGGTGTAGGTAGTCTGGGGCCGATCATGGGCTCGGACTTGCACTGGCTGGCTACTGGCTGCTGCTGGCGGTGCTGTGGCAGACACTTCTCGCTCCTCGAGTTAGGCTGGACCGGCGTGTTGCCACCAACACGACGTCGGTAGAACAGTAGATAGGCTTGCTGTGAGAGCAGCTGAGTGAGATTGACCCGCCGCACCTGTACATCACATCACATTATATACAGATACACAAACGCGCACACACACACACACACACACACACACGGGTGCACACACGCATGCACACAAACATTAGGAATTGATCATTCTGTTCTTCAGCTTTCTAACTAGGGAATGGGAGTCGCTGAGATAAGGGCTGCCAAGATTGCAAAAGTATAGCAGCATGTCAAGTTGAAATGCAAAACAGTGAAACCTTCAGAGAACCCTGGATAGTGCAGACTATGGGGAACAAAGTACCTAAAAAAGCTAAACAACAAGAAGGTCACGTGGGTTTGCAGTAGTAGGAAGGTCTCAGTACGGATACCACCAGGGATCAGACAAATCTGTCTTATTTGTGACATATCCTCATCACACAATGCACAGCAACTTCAGCGAGAACAGTTGGGAGTTTGGCACGGACCAAGTGTGCTCAAAGAGTAGGCATCTTAGTTGAGAGCTATGCCCAAGGAGTGTTGTGCCGGACAATGCAGAGAGCATGCACACACACACACACAAACGCACACACACACACACACACACACACACACACACACACACACACACACACACACACACACACACACACCGCACCAGAGCTGCAGCATACCAGTGAATCGTTGAAGCAGTAGCAATCACCGGTTGATGTACGTGTGAAGCAGAAGTAATGGCCAGAATGTACTGAATGCCCCGCGTGCACCAGTACAGCATACAGATCATACATCATTGCATCACCCTGCACAAACATACAGATCATATATCACTGCATCACCCTACACAAACATACACATCATACATCATTGCATCACCCTACATAAATATACAGATCATACTTCTGAAGTACATCATTGCATCACCCTGCACAAACATACAGATCATACATCATTGCATCACCCTACATAAATATACACATCATACATCATTGCATCGCCCTACATCAACATACAGATCATACATCATTGCATCACCCTGCACAAACATACACATCATACATCATTGCATCACCCTACATAAACATACAGAACATACATCATTGCATCACCCTACATAAATACCATTAATTTTAGCGAAAAAGCCCTACGCTCTGTGCATAACACACTGCTAGGGAGTTCAGTTCCGGTCGCTGAAAAGCGAAAAATGCAGTCACAGCTCGCCTGTACAAAGTGAATGGGCGCCTCGTGGCTGCAGTTCGAGATGCAGTTCAAGGCCCAAGTATCTTCGCCCACGGCCTTTTCGATGCTATTTTTAGGTAGCTGAGGTTACCATTACCATTACCTTTCCAATGGTGCCACACATGCCATGCTTCCAAAAATAATGCCTCCGCGCTTGGCGCGGATGCACTTCGAAGTACTAATTTCGACCAGACCCGTACTCGGCCCCGTGAGGAACACCTGATTTTCGTGTTCAGCGGCCTCGAATTAGTCTAAAACAAGAGGATTCTAGAACATTTAGGCTCGCGCTTTATCGCGGTAGAAGGAAAATGATCACAGAAACCGGCCCACGGCGATTTCCTGGTGGTTGAAAAAAAATCGAGTGAACTGCGCCCACACTGTAGAAGCGGTGACGGTGAAAACGTGTGACTTGTGCAAGTAGGCGCGCACAGCATGCGTGCACACTGCATGCATGCACACATCCTGTATCACCATGTACGCACCAGACAGTGCAGTGCTGGACGGAAACCACACGGCTCACATACATACTTGTATTTACTTCTGTGACTATTTTCTCCCCCATTTTCCGATCTTCAATCAACTATAACTCTAGATTGCCTTGGAATTTTGGGTTCAAAGTTTCACAGGTTGTTTCTCACATCTTCCCGGTTTAGAAAAACTAACGTTTTATGCGAAATTTGCGAATTTGGTTTTCGATTGAACTCCCTAACACTGCCCAAGAACGGACGCAGCCGGAGTCTGTGTTTGCAATAAGCTGTGGCAATGATTTATACAGGTTGTGAAGCTCAACCAAGGAATGAATACGAATATACAACATAATTACCCAAAGCGAAGAAGAAGGAAGATGGAGATACAGTTGCAAATCAAGCAGTGCACTTTGCTAACCTTTTTCGCACTCATGTACGGTCGAAGGTTGAGCTCGCAGCCATATGTGACATCCTTGTTGATCTTGCCACCGAACATGCTACTGTAGTCAAATCTGTGAAATGACAGTAGCATAGCAGAGTAGGCAAAATAATCAACAGCAGCACAACAGTAGGCTGCATGATCAACAGCAGCACAATACCAGTCTGCATGATCAACAGCAGCACAATACCAGTCTGCATGATCAACAGCAGCACAATACCAGTCTGCATGATCAACAGCAGCACAATACCAGTCTGCATGATCAACAGCAGCACAATACCAGTCTGCATGATCAACAGCAGCACAATACCAGTCTGCATGATCAACAGCAGCACAATACCAGTCTGCATGATCAACAGCAGCACAATACCAGTCTGCATGATCAACAGCAGCACAATACCAGTCTGCATGATCAACAGCAGCACAATACCAGTCTGCATGATCAACAGCAGCACAATACCAGTCTGCATGATCAACAGCAGCACAATACTAGGCTGCATGATCAACAGCAGCACAATACCAGTCTGCATGATCAACAGCAGCACAATACCAGTCTGCATGATCAACAGCAGCACAATACCAGTCTGCATGATCAACAGCAGCACAATACCAGTCTGCATGATCAACAGCAGCACAATACCAGTCTGCATGATCAACAGCAGCACAATACCAGTCTGCATGATCAACAGCAGCACAATACCAGTCTGCATGATCAACAGCAGCACAATACCAGTCTGCATGATCAACAGCAGCACAATACTAGGCTGCATGATCAACAGCAGCACAATACCAGTCTGCATGATCAACAGCAGCACAATACCAGTCTGGATGATCAACAGCAGCACAATACCAGTCTGCATGATCAACAGCAGCACAATACCAGTCTGCATGATCAACAGCAGCACTGACCTGCATGATCAACAGCAGCAAATGAGTAAGAGGATGAATCAAATCAACCTTCATGACAATTCCGTAGATATATCGGAGGATATGGGACCTGACCCGATCACATAATTCGAGGAGGTGATTTGTCCAGAGTGACATCACAAGCATTGCTTTGTCATTCAATACAAAACATCCAGAATGATGACAAGCACATAACCGCAGTAGGACTTGACCTCCGGAACAAGCACATAACCGCAGTAGGACTTGACCTCCGGAACAGGAACCCGATGGGTTACCCTGGCCAACTTGTGGTGATTATTATCAACCACGGTCCAGGGGCGTCGGACACGCTACGGTCACTACGGTATTGACCGTACCACTCTTTGTCCCAGCTACCCTGTGAATCAATAAAAGGCACTGATTTGGGCTCTAAATTTCGAAAACTTTCAGAGGACAGGGTTCGCACAGGAAAACCACCACCAAATTCAATAACTTTTCCAAAACTTTTTACAAACTTTTCCATGACCAAACCACAAGCCCAAGAACGCGCACAAGCTGAAACGGTTCACACTGTCCGAATAACAGGCGAAAATAATTCCGGACGACACACATGTACGCCCACTTAGAAGACCCTATATTAATATATAAACCGTGCAAGACAGCTACCGCAGATAAAACACAAGCCAAAGAATGCGCACAAGCTAAAACCACACTGTCCGAACAGGCGAAAAAATGCGGACGACACAAGTGCATAATGATACTCACTAAACCGTGCAGGACAGCTACACCAGATAATGACCATAACAGAAGATGATCTGAACAGAACACTTAGTTTGAATAAAAACGGAAACAAAACACCGCAGCTGCCAGCAATTAAAGAGGAAAATAAATCACAATCTAAAGTCGGTGGATGCCTCAGACAGTGGGAGAAGAGAATTAGAAAACAAAACAGTAAACCATGAACACAACAGTGAACAAAAACAGGAGTGAATTCAGACTGCAAGGTCCACTCACTGCTTGAGGGCTTCCTGCACTGCAGAAATCTGCGCATCCAGTGCAGCCAGCTCACCTTCCTTCTCACTAGCAGCACGACGCAGTGCATTTGATTCGACCAGGAGCTGCATCTTACGGGACGACTCAGCTTCAACAGCGGCGTCATCGGCTGACTTTACAAGAGCTGCAATGCTCTTTGAAGTCCGTAGACGTTTGGCGGACAATTCTCCCAGCTCATCCTCTTGCGCCTTCCGCTTGGACGACCTAGTTGTTGCTGCAGCCTTGGCACGCTCCTCCTCGAGGTATGCTTGGTAGCGCCGACGAGCCAAGCTAGCTGATGTCAAGAGCTCCTTCGACAGGACAACCTTCCGAACGCCGCCAACACTGTTCAAATGGTCGGAGATCAACCTGAGAGCTGTCAGGGAGTGCTCAGCTTGATTCTCCACCGTAACCTCCTTGTTGATGGAGAATCCGCGCTCAACTGAAGCCTGGCCATGTGACAGCAGCAAGAGTTTGCGAACAACTGGCCAGAGGTCACTGTACTGCGGCTTGTCGGCCAAGGCGTTAAACAGGCAGGTGTCGAGCCGGTCCTCTCCAGGAGTAAAGGACACCAGGCTATCATCCATGGCAGCGGAACGGCAAAAGTCCTTGTACTGACGAAGTACATCATCACATCGGTTGACTGCTACAACATGAGCATCCACCAGCAGCTTCAGGGCAATGTTCAGACGGGTGCACGCAGATGCAGTGTCGTCTCCACAGATCATGGCTGGAGTAAGCCATTGCAGGGTACGGACTAGCTGGTATCGAAGAGGTGATTTCTCCAACACTTTCTGGATTATATGGAGAAGGAACAATTTGGTGTCAACCCTGATAGCGAGAAGATCTCGCTCGCTGATCTTCTTAGCTCGTTTCAGCTCCGTCATCCGCTTGTCTGCAGCAAACCCAACACTGATTTTGGTGCCATCAACATGGTTGCTGCTGTCTGCGAAATCAGCACTGATCAGCTTCGCCGGTGTACTGAGTGATCGTACCACCGTCTCCTTCAGGAAGCGGCCAGCAAGACTGGTGACGACAGCATGTAACTCAGAAGCAACAAACGGCAACATTGGAGCATCACATTGGAACTTCCGAAGAAACGGCTGCAGTTCCCTCGCAATGGATAAGAAAACCTCGACTTTCACAAGAAAGAGAGGATCTTTGCAACATGCTGATATGGCTGGGAAGGACTTATTCTTTGGGGTAGTCACCTTGCCAGCAGTAGCTCCAGCAACGTACTTCTCCACGTTAGGCCAGATATCCAGTAGCCGCTCAGCAACAGGAACATTCTCAAGCCATCGGTGCCCGCAAAACTTGAGGGGAAATGTCGACGAGCCGCTGAGCTCCACATAATCCTCTCGTCGAGCAGGGGCATCGTGGAACAGCCAATGCAAACAGCACATGGCATGCTCAATGTCCCAGCCAGCCTTGCTACACCCGAGCTTGAACGCGTTGTGGAGGACATGAAGTCCACAACTTCCAACGTTCAGTAGACGATGGCCAGCTTCAACTTCGACTTCTTTTGACAGTTTGTCAAAAACGCTCCAGTTGACGTTCGGGCCGTCCATCGATAGCTGAAGAATTCCACTCAGGCCCAGATCCGTGCATGTGTCCATCAGCTTGGAAAGGATGGTGGCTGCGTCGGCATGGCCAAGGAAATGCGAGGTATAGTACCTGGAGCAAATCTGATCTCCATTCCAGAAGCGGACAAGCACATCCAGCTGCTTTGACTGCAGGTTAAAGTTCAGAGATTCATCGAACATAGCCACATACTCTCCACGCTCTTTTACTTTGTCCACGAGCATATTCCGAAAGTGCGGAGCTAGACCAAATACTGCCACATAATTGGTCTTCCGCTCGCCAGACTGGAAAGCTGCCGCGATCTGGCTGTCAGGAAACATTGCTCGGAAAATGGCACCACTATCGTCGCAGCTCTTGAAGCTGTAATGCTTCGCGATAACGTTCAACGTCCAGAGGACTTCTGCACGCAGTGTGTCAGAATTTGACACGAGGCTAGTCACAGGCGGAGTACGTGACGGCGATGAAGCAGCAGACGAAGCAACGGTCGACGAGACAGCGGCTGAGGAAACATTGCCTCCTAACTGTAACAGAGTACTGACGGACGGGGTTCTACGAGCAGCAGCTATGCCGGCCTTGTGTCCGACTCCTTGCATATGGCTACGCAATGCGCGCTGGCCCATGTTACCTATATCGACACTCTTTTTACATATCTTACAAAATGCTTTCTCTCTCGAAAGCGGGTCAACAGCAACCCATTCTCCAAAATCGTCGTGCGTGAGCCACGCATAACTAAATTTACACTTGCCTGGCATATTGCCTACTTCACGACAAATCGCATTTCAAAACACAAAGGAACACGTATAATCTAAAAGAGCCTACTACTACTAAGAGCCTACTACAAAGAAACTGAAACCGCCTGTCAGTAAGGCAAACCACGACCTCACAGCAGCACAACTGTCGAACTGACTAATGAAAAGAGAAAGAACGACTTACTTTGAAAAGGAAGCATCACTAAAAATGTTCGCCATCCGCGTCGCACACCCCGCGCGCGGGCTGTACGAGGCCAGGCTACCCGCCATAGCCAACGCGGCAACTGCCACCCAACGATGATACACGGCTAGCACAGTACGGACTGCAGTCCAGGCAGTAGGCCGCGTGCAGTAGACTGTCGTACCTACTGCACTGCATGCATGTGCAGTCTGCAGAGTGCAGACTGCCGATGCGACAGTTGGAAACTTAGTTTTCCAAAACTTTTCATAACTCCCACCCAAAATCATAGTTTTCAAGGTCCTTGAAAACGTGTTTCACAAAATCATACATTTTCCAGACTTTCCATAACCTGTGCGAACCCTGAGAGGAGCCACCCAAACCCCACAAGTAATTGTACTTCAGGTAGTTGACCGTACCACCCTAAAATACCTTCCGATGCCCCTACCCCTGCCACCACACCCCTGCCCCTGCCACCACACCGCTGCGCTCCCTGGCTGACCTCAACATGTTGCCACAGCACGCCATCAGCAAAACAACACTTCAGTTGTTACTCTGCTCCTTCAGACAGCAGCTGTATCGATCATCAGGATCCTGTCAGTGAAGGCTGATAATGTAGAACGGCTAGCAGATAGTGAACTTCACCCAACAGCTGCTGTCTGAAGGAGCAGGGTAACAACTGAAGTGTTGTTTTGCTGATGGCGTGCTGTGGTAACGTGTTGAGGTCGGCCAGAGATCGCACCAGTGTGGTGCGGTGGTTGATAATAATCTGGACAAGGCCAAATGCGGCTGCTTACCTCTCTGACTTGTGGTGATAAGTAAATAAACCAAAGGAGCAGGGAAGCGTTGCGGCTACCCTGCTGACTACAGTCGCTATTCCCAGTCTAGTTCATCACTTTCCATGGTGATAGATAACCGTCAAAACACACCTCAGACCTGCCCATCGCGGAAGCGATGATTGCGAACAGCCATGTTAGACATAGCAACTTGCAAAACACACACACACACACACACGCACGCACAATAGCACGTGCAGTATACCTCTTCAGCTGAATGGTGAGAACGTTAGGTGCACGGTGAATTGACAGGCTCTTCCTGGCCTTGACCATACACTTGCACTGCTCACACTTGTACATGTTAGCACCGTCCAAAAGGTCGGGTTTGACATACTGCTCAAACGATTGGGTCAACGAGTTGGCCAGCTGCATTCGCACAAACACCAAGACAACAAAACAGGTGTGCACAAATCTAAGACAGTCATGCATCAGATAGCCAGTGCTGACACATAGTGATAGGCAAGGTACTTGCACAGTCTCGGTCCATACAACACTCAAGCTATGGGTAGGGCAAAGACACACACATTGGCACCTGCTGACCAGCACAAGAGCAAGTCCATGACTTATTTTCAGAAAGAGAAATTACGTACACTTAAGGCACAAAATACCGTAAAATTTCGCCAGAGCACAGTTGTGAAAGTGTCCTGTCTTGATTTCTTGTCTGGAAAGGGATTACGATTGTATAGCTATAGGGTCCCTACGGCACAGCTTGCAAATAGACTATACCTCACACTCTCCGACTTTATTTATTCTGCTGATCATCCAGCCCCAGCGTAGGGGTACCGCCTGTACATGTACATGTACACTGTGTAAATACGATGAGACTGGCTCTGGGTTTGTGGTTTGGGATCCCACAGCACCTCGGAGAATCTCTCATCTGCCTCGTCACTCGACCACATCATGAAAATGGTCGAAGTGACGGTGTGCTCTGGTGATATTATAATAATTATGGTACTAGCGACATAATAATCATTCTCTCACCTTGATGTCCAAGCTGACATCCAGAATAGGATCATACGTATTTGACTCATGGTGACACTGTAGACATTTCACTGAATACACATGACAAGAATGCACATACCACACCACATCACACCAACAGCGGGACAGCATTTGCAACAGCAGCAAAAGTAACACCAGCACAAACAAGGAGGAGAGAACTGTTGGCAAAGCAACACCAGACTCTGGGAATCAAACCCTCGCCATCGTTTCATCAAAGGCAATACCGTGTTTTCCGGAGTATAAGCCGCACTTTTAAATACCAGTAACTCACACACAACTTGTCGGTGCAGCTTATACTCTGTTGGTCAAATTGACGGTGATAAACGGGGTCGATGTCTGTATTTCGTGACAAAACATCTGGGTGCGGCTTATACTCCGAATAATACGGCAATCAATATGAGAGGAGTAAGTACGTACAAGCAGACCAGGCTCACCTTGACTGCGATGATATCCACCGAACACTTGATGAACAAAAGTAGTCTCCTTGGTAGGATTGTCCAACCTACATCATCCCGACACCGATCACAAGTCACAGAAACAAATTTGCAATGATGAAAGATGTCAGAAAATCCAGTGCGCACTTGCAGAGTTTGTAAAATGTGTTCTCAGTACTATCAAGTTCATCAACCTCAATGGGGACTTAGTCGGCAGCTAAATAACAGTTACAGGAGACTGTTGGTCCCGGTGCAGTAATTGGATGAAAATGGAAGAACACCAAATCACTGGGAAAATCCAAAGCATCGCTCCGACCCGTTATGCTGCAACCTCCAAAATTAATAATAATGGGCCACGGTGAAAAAATACCTTCGATTCTCAAGCACTCAAGCACTGATAACTGCATATTTCAATTCCGAACTTTCACCATAGTTAGTCCACGTGAATTCTCTTTTCATGAAAACAATCCAAATTTGTGGTGGTAAGCTGTAAGATCCTGAGTGTACAAGGGCCATGCATACACCAGCTCACTGTTCTTGCATGCGTGTGTGTGTGTGTGTGTGTGTGTGTGTGTGTGTGTGTGTGTGTGTGTGTGTGTGTGTGTGTGTGTGTGTGTGTGTGTGTGTGTGTGTGTGTGTGTGTGTGTGTGTGTGTGGAGCTCGCTGCCGCTCGAAGGTGAAACAAGTACGGATTCACAGGATAACGTCCAAAGTGTGTGAATGTACATGCTATGTGACGTACAGACAGGACTCAATCATGCTTCCGACCTCTACAATACTACAAGGAAATGCTGAAGGTGGAAGGGCTATCTGGTGCTACTTTCCAGTACAGAAGAACCTGTCAAGGCGAACACTCTGATAAGGTGATCACCTGCCTTACCGGACTACTACAAATAGGCCCAAAAGGATGCTATTTCCAGTCAAATGACCCTGGACAAGAAGGCCACCTGTACACAGCGACCACATTTTGAAGGTCACTTGAGCGGACGCCTTACACAGGCTTCACGGTCTATACCATAAGAGGGAAAATATGGTAGTCCAGCAAAACTGCTCGCATGCCGCTACTGTTAACAAGCATGAGAGAACACTAGCACGGTACTCACTTTCCGGGGAACGGAATGACGCAGCTCTTTTGCAGCGCCTCGACGAAATAGCGCAAGAACTCGTGTGCATCCTCCTGCCGACCGTTGCGCATATGTTTAGCAATCTCTGTCAATGTCAATACAACAGAACATCAGATGTTTAGCAATCTCTGTCAATGTCAAATACAACAGAACATCAGTTTGATAAACAATCATTTTAAATATTTGTTGAGTGCATACCGGTACATGCCATGCGGTTGAGGAATTTTCATCTGATTGACAACCGTTTCAGCTGCATTGTGGTTAAGCTTTAGGTCTGAGCGGCAAAACTGTGTCAACTAAGTACAACAGTGACAAAACGACTAGTTGATGGGTGAGATCCCAAAGGCTCGCAATACCAAAGCGACGCATAACACCAATGATTGAGATTAGGAAATAGCATGGCAGGGCCCAGAGTGCCCAGCGCTTCATAGTGTCTGAATGCCGCATTTCTGCACCAATCACTGTGAGGTTGCAGAACCATACTTCCTTTCAGCTTATGCAGACTTGCTCAAAGTTCCCAAACTTACTGGTCAAGTTTTTCGTCACCGGCTGGGGCTTCAACGCTGCACAGTTCTTTGTGAAGACATTGTGGACATGACGCGAGAGAACGCACATTGCACAGAAGCCAGCAACACCACCTATCAACGTATACACACCAACACACACACACGCATACACACACACACATGCAGAGAAAGACAATTGAGGTTAGAACCATCTCAATCTGCCAGATTAGAGAAGTAGCAAAGACCGACAGCTGTCAAACAGTGCACCAAGCTCGTTTACCTTGATCTGCAGAGTAACACTATACAGGCAGAAAATTTCGTCCAACTCCAAAGAAAGGGAGTTAGATAGTAACCAGTATATAAGGGGCCGTCCGTAAATATCAAACTTTTTTCACCAAACGAATTATTTTAGTTTAGACCCAACCCCTCCCTCCCTCCCCCTCAGAATGCAAAAAAGGTTGACATATGCATGCACAATACAACAAAAGTTGTATGTGTGTAACTGCTCCTACGGCCATGTACATGTATCAAAGTTTTCTGACACGAAATTGGTCAACCCCCTCCCACCCCATAACGAAATAATTTCGTTTTGTGAAAAAAGTTCGATATTTATGGACGACCCCTCACTTGTTAAACAGTGCAGGACTGGCGGAAAAAGCAGTTTATGACTGGTCCGGCCATACCATAGGCTTCTCTACTTTGTGTATTATATAGTGGGTACGCATGAGGCGAGAAGAAAGAGGGGTACGGGGGACATGTCCCCTGTAAAAAAATTCAAATTTGGGCCATTCGGGAGCATCACAATCACTTTAGGACAGTTTTCACAAAAGGACACGGCATACAATACCATGCGATATGCCGCTGGGGCCGGCTCCCAGTACGCTTTGCCAGAGGCTGTGGGCTAGTGCAGTGTCAAACGACACCATGCCGTACCTACACGGCTACAGTGCAGCAGGTCAGTGCTGCTACGCTGTCATCATCATACCTAGGTCAGTACAGTACTGGGGACACCACCAGTGAGTACCAGGTCAACTCCATGGCAAGCGGCATGTGTACAGCGTATAATAATAAATAAATGTACGAGTGCATGATGCCACGGAAATTTTATTGCTTGTTTGGATGAATAGGGCCTGGGACCACCTCGGACGAAAAGTGGTACGACCATGGTCGTCGTTCCGTGTGTGACGCCCCTGCGCACACACACACACACACACACACGGCCGCGCGCGTTCTTCAGCGCCCAATGCTACGCTAGCTGCAAAATAATACTTACAACCAGTCTCATCATGGCCTCCACTTTCGAAGTAGTGCACCAGTGGCGGTGTATAGGACAAGCACTGCATTACACTGTTGAGAAAACACGTATTGCCTTGGTTGACTAATCCACAGCCTGCTTTGGATGGTGTTGTCCATTCCAGATTAATACACACTGGGTCACACAACACCCGACGCGGTATAGGCAGGCCGTCAGCAGCAAGTTGGTGCGGACCCACTGGAGGCCCAGGCTCCTGGTGCTCATTATTTACGATAAGCTCCTGCGTTCGCATGACAAACTTCTTGTTCACAGGCTTGTATTTCAGAGACAAGTGTTCATGGTGCCTGTCTGGCACAACAGAGTTCATAAAACCTATGCGTTGAGCAGACAGCGACTTCAAACCACCTGGGCCTAGGAGAGCGTCCAAGTAGCAAGCTGAAGATTCAATAGCAGGCATTTACAGCAATGCGCATGCCTCTCCAAGAAAATGAACTAACTACTTTTATCCCTCTGCTCATACAGCTACAGACTCAGTAAAAAGAGGCCACTGCGTATGTAGAAAAACTATTATTCTGAGAGTAGAAGACACCGCAAGATTCTCGGTCATTTCATAATACGTAACATGCTACTACCTGGAGCGCTATCTCGAGCATGCAAAGAACCCAAACAAAGGCAAAGGAACCAACTACAATCACAATAATAATTTTAGTTGCTTGAATTTTCTATTTTCGTCTTGATGACAAAATGAAAAGCACGGAAAAACTGAAAACAATCTGAACAGCTAGCTAGCAGCATGTAGCATAGATCTAACAAAAATCTGTTGTTCACTTGCACTAGGCCATATGCATAGGGTGTTCGCTGCCTCGAACCCAGGCGCATTTTGAGTGGAAACAGTTTTGTACGGGGTCCGTGGCACAATCGTACGTCACTGTGCTTCTTGCCTTGGCAAGGTAAAATTTTAGCAACTCAGGACGAGTTTGTTTCTTTGTTGGAAAGAGGAGATGTCTCTGCTGTTGAGACCGTAAGTCCCGTTTCCACACGACGAATTTTAGCAATGTTACGCCCTGCGCAACTTCAGGGTATCGATTTCGGCCTGTTCTGGGCCGGTCGCAACGCCGGCGACCATTCCATCGTCTTCAGCGTCGAAAAACTACGCAGTGTGTGAAATTTGGAGGCTGTACGATGCTGTCTTCTTGTTCTATGAGCGATCGATTTGCGCCAGGATACCAAATGTATGGAGTATGGAGTTGATGGACTTGGCTGTAGTGCTGTTTATTTGTAGTTTCGCTGAGCTACCACATCAGATAAACCTCTGGTCGCTGTATCTGGAGAGTGGAGAAAGCCATTGTGCAGACAAATTGGTCAAGAACAGATTTCCTGCCAATACTGCGTTCAATATGCAGCTGAAAATCTGCACAGAATTGACACTCTGAGGATTTGCAAAATTGCAGCGCGCTAACGCAGTGCAGCTACGCAATGCCGTATGCACCGTGTCTGGAGTACATTGTCATCCACATAGCATGGGCAATGTAGGGCCAGTGTATTTGTCGACTTTATAATTACATCCAAATTACGCTTGCACAATCATCCGATAAATGAACTGTCTGTTGATTGTGCAAATCGTATGAATGAATTACATGTGACGTGCGACACCAATTGCCCCGAAGTGCTGCACGCGCCGTATATGACTGGGAACAAGTTGTCCTTCTAAAGCTGATGATTAGCAGGACTGCTGCTGCCTTGGCCTGGCTGAAGCTTACATCGTGTTACAATGGTGCAGCATACCTGTTAATTGGCTGCATGCATCCGGTCCCGCGGCGCAACATGCCCGGGTGCGGGTGCCGTCTCAACTGAGTGCGTATGTTATTTTCTTGGATGTTTCATCTACATGGGGTAGATAACTGTAATCTCCTCCTGGTGATGCGTCTTTGTAGTACCCGTATTCCAATTAGCTTCAGCCTGTGAAGGGTTGCATCTTTCGCATCTATTTCGACTAATTTGTATGCGTTGCTATGGAGTATGGGCGTAATTTGAATTTGGCTGGATGGAATACCAAAAAAATTGGTCAAGTGATGGAAGCTCTCTATTGGCTATCATCTGTGAAAATTTGAAAGACCCTGAACGAAATTGATTTTCACCTTGTTCAAGTTGGTTTTGAATTTCCCGGTTTTGTGCCACTGGCCTGCAGTGCAGAGTCGCCATTGTACCGTTCTCATGGAAACAGCCAAACGTTACGTCGCTGAGGCACACGGCGCCGAGGCTGCGACACGACCAGTTCATGCGCATGTATAAGGCCTCATTTACACGACAACGATTGAAAAACGTTTTTCAATCGTTTCGAAACGTTTTTGCTGTTTTAACACGAAAACGATAATCGTGTATACACTGCAACACTTTTTTCGGCGCGCAATGGTCACGTGCAAAAAGTTGGCCTGGCGCAGGCTGGCGGCGGCATGTTTTGAGTACAAGGCTCGTACTATATGCATTTGCTAGTAAAACGTTTTTGCCGTTTACACGAGAACGAAACGGAACGAAAACGATTGAAAAACACTTTGAGGCCGTTTTTCGTTTGAAACGTTTTTCAGCGTTGTCGTGTTAACGCTCTTATCAAAATCTGTGGAAGCGTATTCTTTTGAAAACGTTTTTGACAAAAACGTTTTTCAATCGTTGTCGTGTAAAAACGAGGCCTAAATGTGGCCAAGGGTGGCCACATCACAAAATGCAGAAAAAATTCGATCCGTTGCCATGGTTTTTACAGTACTCGTGGCAATACTAGTTCCAAAAAAAAAAAAAAATCCACAAACTGCTTATCATGTGTGTCTGACAGTCTGTGTGCTTCCGGGATGGGTGTCAAAAGGTCAAAGGTCAAAGGTGTGTGTATTTGAAAGTACTGTTTTCACATGTCAAACTTGGTAGTACATGTACTCTATAGACTATAGATCTAGCTCTCCTGATGTGATATCACTGTCGTTCTCCAAAAACGGCCAAAATAATTAATTCAATCCTGATGGGGCCAAAATACCAAAAAAATTCAAAGTGCGAAAATCAAACCAAAATTCAAAAATAATTGAAAACATTTTGTGGACAAGCCTACCAATGATCGAGTCAAAAAAAGTCGACTCGGTGTCGACATGACGTACTAGTACTACTAGTATGACGTCGATCGTCGCGAGTCGACGACTCGACGACGTCCCATGGCCATGGGCCCCCATCACTCCCATGGCCATGTCACCCATGCCATGGCCAGGCATGCAGTCGGAGGCACGCATCCAGTGAAGCTGCAGTGATCCTACCAAGACGGCAAGAGTGCATAAATCAATGTAATGTAATGTTTATGGACTCTTGACTTATTATTATTATTATTAAATTTTTGATAGGGCAATCCCCACAGGCCTAAGGCCTTCTTACAGGGTACCCTAAATGTGCCAATACAAGGTAACGGAAGCGAGAAACAGATGTGCAAAGGCGAATGTCAGCAGGTAGAGAGTTCCAACGATCTGAGCCTAGAAAACTAAGAGGAAAAAGACCATACCGATTTAAAGCAGCGGGAAGAGTAAGGGCTTTAGAAACTTGCTTGTCTTGATCCTACTGCACTGATTGACAGACTCTGTACGGTATAATCATTACTGTATCTGATGATTGTTTTATGTGGTGTTGATTCTTCACAAAATGTGTTATTTTGCCCGTACAAGAGGCTCTAGCTTGTACTGTTAGGGTGCGTTTGGTTGGTACGATCTGAGAACAGGATCGAACAGCTGGTGCACATGGAGCAGCTAGCAGCCTCTAGCAGCCTCATGCTAGCAGCTAGCAGCCTCATGCCAACCAAACGGTACTCCAGAAACAGAGCACATTTTTGTGAAAAAATGTGCCAAACTTGATGCGCGCACGTGCATTCTTCATAATGTGTATGGGTCACCATGGTCACTTTGTACGGTACAACGAATCCAACCCAAAATCGTATGCACGTGATCATTTGGGACCAAAATCGATGTTCCCGCCAGGTTTCACTGTGAAAAAGTGAAACTGCTCGGTCTGCTCCGGCCTCGAGGCCGGTGTAAACGCGAAAACGGTTCCTCCGCGAAAATGGTTCCAGGCATACACCGGTTACCCCCTGGAACCGTTTTCGCTAGCGAAAACGGTTCCACCCTAGCCGCGAAAACAGTTCCTCCGCGAAAACGGTTCTTCCACACATTTCCTGCATCTATGGCCCTCTTGGAACCGTTTTCGCGGATGGGGTCTCACCGCGAAAACGGTTCCAGCTAGCCGCGAAAACGGTTCCTCCGCGAAAACGGTTCCACACATTTCCTGCATCTATGGACCGTTTTCGCGGATCGACATGCATCCGCGAAATCAGTTCCCAATCATGAGTTGTGCTTTCGGTTTTTTTCTTCTTCAAAACGTCCTGAAGATGTCTTCTCTTGGTGGTAATCGGGCGTGTTACGACGAAGTCTTGCAAGCGTTGCTTGCAAACGCCTGCCTCGTTTCCTGCAGACGCGAAGAGGCGTAGAGCAATAAAACGCTTTGCAGTCAACTTCGTCTTGGATCGTGGGGTCCTTTTTCGCCAAACAGATGAAGGCCTACCACAATGGATCACAGACGACGGTCAACAAAAGGAGATCTTGCATCCATGCCACTCGCATGATATGTCTGGTCACCTTGGCCGTGATAAGAGAGGAGGAAGGTCTGTGAGAGGTGAGTAACTAATATTACTTGGATTCATTTATTTTCAGTCTCAAATCAGTGAAAGTCGAGAGGATGGTAGTGTGTGGTGTAAGTAAGGGAGTTAGTGCACCACATTTAATTATTATTACTTTCAACCGTCTTCATGAAGGCCCACACACAAAACTGACCACAACTGACAAGGCTTCTGTTGGCATATCAGTACAGTAATTGACCCGGATTAACTCACTTCATATACCGTAAAATACCGCCAGAGCGCCCCTACCTCCTCGTCGCTTCAGGTGGGGAGAGGCGGATGGGCGAGTCCTCCTTGCCGCATTCAGTGCAACATGAAAAAGTACTCACCCCACGAAAACTGTTCGTGCATCTCGTACACCGACCAAAGGTCAAGAGCCAGGAGTCGTACAGACCCGTCAAAACTCAGGGTTTGTGCGATCCCTGGTCAAGAGGGTACCTAGGGTGGGCACTGTTGCGTACATTTCCAACGGGGTCGAGCACGCGTCTGCAGTACAGTACGGCATCACAGACTGCGACAGAGTCATACGAGGATACATCCCTGACTTCAGAAGTCAGGGAGGGGCGGACAGGAGAGACGGGGCGCTCTGGCGGGATTTTACGGTACATGTAAGCACGCACCTAATTTTCCACCATACATGACTGTAGAGACTTTCAACCCGGGTTGAAAATTCTCATGTTAACACAGCCTAAGGCCCGGGTTCCGCTGCGGCTCTGCTGCTCCGTGGTACATGCAGCGGAGCAGCGCGGTTCCACTGACACTCGCCATTCGCGGTACCGCGGTCGTGCTCCACACTTTTTGATGATGTTTCATTTGCCTGCAAGTGCAATGCTTGAACAAAGGAAAATTCAAAATTTAACATTTCCTGGCATTTTCAGGAGGTCACTATGGATACATTGACGGTAGCAAAGTTTGTCCAGCGCTGTGTGAACTGAATCACGGTTTGCCAGTGTTATCTTGCTGCAGAGTGTTGGAGTGTTTTGAGTCTGCCTTGTTCGTTCTGCCGTTATGTCACGCAAGTACAGTAGAGTCGCGCGCTGAAGAACGCGGAGCCCAAGAACGTCCAGCCTGAAATT